GGAGCTGCAGATTCAATGCCGTCCTTTGAAATAAATTCTCCTGGGGGGAGGGGCAGGGGAGACTGTAACTGTTAACGGGAGTAGAAAGCCCTGTCTTTGTCCCGAGGAGCACCCAGTGGGGTTGAACTGATAACCTTGCAATTAGTAACCCAACTTGTAACCGCTATACCACCAGAGACTATAAGGGCCTGACACATCTTTCACTTGGGTGATTAAAAGAGCTTCTCCCCTGGTCTGCCCACAGCCGGCCCTGCCCTCTGCTATCAAGCGCATCTGTGTGGCCATTCATCCAGGGGTTCGTAGAACCCCAGGGAAGCTACAAGGGATTCAGGATCTGGTTCTGCTCCCGGACATGAAACAAGCAGACGGGAAGGTCTGACAACTATTGAGGAGGAATTGGGGCATGGCTGCAGGGTGGGCCCAGAATATCAGCCTTCAACACTAGAGGAGGGACTTGTCTGTGTGTGTGTGTGTGTGTGGGGGGGGTCTCATCTTGCAGGACACTAGGATCCATTCCAAGCCAGAATGCAACAGGATGGAATCCCGTTTGGAGAAAGATCTGCCGTAATGGCGGCTGTGTGGGCTGACAACGCGGACGTAGCTTGCGATAGCGCGCATCTTCCACCCCAGGGCCTTTGCACGGGCTGCTCTTCCTGAGACCAGCTTCCCTCTCCTCCTCGCCAAGTTAGTGCCTCACACTCAGAATCACCGTTCACGTGTCACCGCCCCAAGGGAGCCCGCCCCCAGCTTCCTAACTGAGTCAAGTGCTCATGATAGGGTCTCCCTGTGACAGGCACCCCGTCCACACTCCATTCCTTCTTGCCTGCTGTTGGAGGGTGAACTGTATCTCCCCAAAAGATGAGTTGAAGTCCTAATGCCTGGAATGTGGCAGTCAGAAGGACTTTCTACTCCCAGGAAGAGTGACAGTCTTGGAAACCCACAGGGGCAGTTCTGCCCTGTCCTATCGGGTCACTATGAGTTGGCAGTGTGTGTTTGTTTCTACTGCTGCCATAGGAAACACCCCTGCCTGTGCCGCAGAGGTGGACATACCTAATGCCTGGCTTCTCGGCCTCCCTCTCAGCCAGGGGTGGCCATGGACACAGGCCAAGCCAATGAGTGAAGCAAGAAGAGTGGTTTCCTGGAGGCTCCTGGGAAGCCGCCTATCTCCCTGATGATCAAGACATTGTTGGCTGTTGGGTATCAATCCAAGCGATCAGGATTTCCCCTCAGAGCCAACAGAGGGCCTTCTCCTAGAGCGGATGTCCTGACTTCTGACTCCCAGTCCCCTGAAGGTGGGAGAATGCACCGATCTTGAAAGCTACTCACGTGTGCTCTCTCGGTTACAGAAGCCCTGGGAAAGGAGACATGGAACCCAGAAAGGGGCTCTGACTATGGAAGACAGGTGGGCTAGACCACATGCTAAGGATGCTTGGGCCTCAGCCAAATGGGCCCAAGCTCAGAAGCCTCTTTGGGAGCGCAGGGCCGTCACCTGGCCACCCTGGGGTCCACACCCCAGACAAGCTCATGGGTTCCTTTCAGGTTTGGGGGGACAGTACAGTTTAAGCAGCAGCCAAGGGACCTTGCTCGGTCTCTCGGTGGGGGTGAGGGGCATGAACCAAGTGTCTAATGAATGAACTTCTCCCCAGTGTCCCCCAGAGCTCTCAGGCATAAATCAAAATGCTCAAATTCATCAGAAACCGTGGCTGGGATGGTGACGTTAGATGAGAGGTTTCCAATTTGCTTTCAGCCAAATTACCTCTTTTGCTTTAAAGGGCAAGCTTGTTTTCTTTGATTATGACAATGCCCATCAGGTCTTTGACAGCTCATTTGGGTGAACAGGAAAAATCTGGTGGATGAGGATGGGGGGAATGCGTCTGACTCTGATTGGGTGGGGGGGGTGGGAAACACTGGAAAATCTAACTTTCCTTGAATTCTAATACAATCCTTTCACGTCCTTCTCAATGCCCCCAACCTGGAGAATTCAATCATCTCCCCCCGCAGCCGCCCCTGTTGTAAAATTCCTGCCCTGAGAGTGAAGCCGGATTGTTAATGGCCGGGCAACTTTAATTGGATCTCCTTCTTATTTGTCATTAATTCTGCTGATGAACTTTATAAATGGAAATATATCTTTATCATGCAAATGGTACCTCATCTCCTTTCTAATAGGCGCGTTGGATATTTTATGACATCCCCTTTCTCTCTCTGAACATGTTGGAGGAAGAGAAAAAAGTTTGAGGAAAATGGTATTTTTCCCCTTGGCGTGGAAAAAAGGAGAGAGAGAGAGAGGAATCCTCTCTCTACCACTACCCCAGGATTCCAACAGTGATGTGTCTATGCTGGGGGTGGGGGTGGGGTGGGGGGTAGGCATCTCGTTTTAAGGATTGTCATTTTAATACTGGCGGGCTCTTGAGAACATATGTACCAGATGTACTGGTCTAAGGGCTTTATATGAACCTACCCCCTTCAATCCTCATAGCAACCTACGAG